TAGCATCAGAAATAGCAATAACTCTTAGACTTGGACCTTTGACCACTAGGACTTTGGACCATTAGTACCTTGGACTCAGTGGTGGGATTATTATTATTTTTACTACCAGTTCTGTGGGCGTGGCTTGGTGGGCATGGCAGAGGAAGGATACTGTAAAATCTCCAATCAGAGGTGGCATTTGCCAGTTCTCCAAACTACTCAAAATATCCACTACCAGTTCTCCAGAACTGGTCAGAACCTGCTGAATACCACCTCTGCTTGGACTCCCAGTAGACGATTACTTAAACATGAGCCAGCAGTGTGCAGCAGCAGCCAACAAAGCTAATGCAATCCTTGCTTGTATAAACAGAGGCATAGAATAAAAATCACATGAAGTATTAGTATCATTTTATAAAGCCTTAGTAAAGCCACACCTGGAATATTACATCCAGTTTTGATCTCCACATTATGGAGAAGATGTTGAGACTTTGTAAAAGGTGCAGAGAAGAGCAACTAAGATGATTAAAAGTCTGGAGACAAAACATGAAGAACTGCTGCAGCAGAGGTGGTATTCAGCAGGTTCTGACCAGTTCTGGAGAACCAGTAGCGGAAGTTTGGAGTAGTTTGGAGAACCGGCAAATCCCACCTCTGACTGGTCCCACCCCCATCTATTCTCTGCCTCCCAAGTCCCAGCTGATTGGCTGGGTCTTCTTTGATTGCCTGCAGAGGAGAATGGAGCTGGAAAGCAGGTTAGTGGGGTGGGGAGGGAATGGGGATTTTGCAGTATTCTTCCTCTGGAGTTGGGTGAGAATGGAGATTTTATAGTATCTTTCCCCTGCCACACCCACCACGCCATGCCCACAGAACCTGTAGTAAAAAAAAATTGAGTCTCACCACTGGGCTGCAGGATTTGGATTTGGCTAGTCTAGAGGAAAGGATTGGGGGTGTGTGTGACATGATAGCAGTATTCCAGTGTTTGAGAGGCTGCCACAAAGAGGAGGGGATCAATTTATTTTCCAAAGCACCAGAGGGCAGGACAAGAAACAATGGGTGGAAGGAGAGATTTAACCTGGAAATAAGGAGAAACTTTCTGACAGTGAGAACAATCAACCAATGGAACAGAAGTTGCCTTAAGAAGTTGTGGGAGCATCATCACTTGAGGCTTTCAAGAAGAGATTGGACTGCCATTTGTCAGAAATGGTGTGGCGTCTCCCGCTTGGGTGGGGGGGGGTTGGACTAGATGACCTACAAGGTCCCTTCCAACTCTGTTAATCTGTTAAAGTTAGCAGAGATGGCCAAATTTGCTGCAAGAAAAGAACACTATTAACTTTGTTTCTGATTGGAAACCAGTTTTGAACTTTGTGCTTTTGATTTTGGCTTTTGCTGATCTAGATAGATTTGTTGTTATATAAATGGCTAGTTTATATGTATTATTATACAGAAGTAAAAAGTTGAGGTTAGATGTTATTATATTATTCTACTGCACCAAATGGAATCGGAAGTCAACGCTTTTCTGTTTCCCTTCACCCTGCTCTTTCCCCTCCCTTATTTTCCCAGTATTTTCTTTTGTATTTTATATTTGGATAAGCTCATAAAATATTGGATCACAAACAAAAAGCACCTTTGAGACATCCATGCAAATGAAAAACTTCTAGTATGGAAAAAAAAAAAGCCGCAGCATAAGGCATAAGCAGTAAATTGAAATTACTTTTTTAACCACATGGGGGTGATGTTGGCACAAGAAACCCAACAGGAGCCTCCTTTCCTATTCTGAATTCCTTTTGCAGCATCAAATTTTTGTTGCAAGAATCACCATGCTCATTGTGGTGGTTCCACCACTTCCTCCTCCTCCTTTAATGTGTTTAACGCAGCCAGTGCTGAAAAATCAATATTTACCACATTCTTGCAAACATGCAATTGAATACGCATAGACCTCGACGTACAATGACAGCTGGAACTGGAATTTCTATTGTAAGTTGTTGTGATCGTAAGACGAGTCAGACCTGATTTTATGACCGGTTCCACAATGGCCTTTAAGAGAATTCTGCAGTCATTAAGGGAATCCAGTACCCTCCCCCCACCCCCCAAGTGGATGTTTTGCCGCTGGAAATTGGCCAAAAAGATTGCAAGCGGTGATCACGTGACCTCAACTGGTTGGGAAAAGAGCCTTGGTGGTGCAGTGGTTAGAATGCAGTATTACAGGCTAATTCTGAATTCCCACTGCCAGGAGTTTGATGCTGACCGGCTCAAGGTTGACTCAGCCTTCCATCCTTCCAAGGTCGGTAAAATGAGGACTCAGGTTGTTGGGGGCAGAATTCTGACTCTGTAAACTGCTTAGAGAGGGCTGTAAAAGCACTGTGAAGTGGTATATAAGCCTAAGTGGTTATTCTATGCTATGCTATGCTATGCCATGCCATGTCATGCCAGTATTGCAGGCTAAGTCTGCCGCAGTCTGCAGTTCGATGCTGACCTGCTCAAGGTTGAGTGAGTTCAGAGGTGGTATTCAGCAGGTTCTGACCAGTTCTGGAGAACCGGTAGCGGAAATTTTGGGTAGTTCAGAGAACCGGCAAATACCGCCTCTGACTGGAGATTTTACAGCATCCTTCCCCTGCCACGCCCACCAAGCCACGCCCACAGAACTGATAGTAAAAAAATTTGAATCCCACTACTGAGTGAGTTGCTTGGGAAGGAGACCAACATTGTTAAAATGGTTTTTTTTTTTTGTAGGATCTTAATTGCTTTTTGAACACATAGCAACAGCCCTTAGACTTATACACTGCTTCATAATGATTTACAGCCCTCTCGAATTGGTTTACAGGGCCAGCCTATTGCCTCCAACAATCTGGGTCCTCATTATATGGACCACGGAAGGATGGAAGTCTTAGTCAACTTTGAGCCAATCACCAGGAGAGTGTGAGTTCTAGTCCTGCTTTAGGCATGAAAGCTGGCTGGATGACTTTTGGCCAATCACCAGGAGGCGGTGAGTTCTAGTTACGCCTCAGGCATGAAAACCAACTGGGTGACCTTGGACTTGTCACACCATCTCAGTTCAACCCCCCCCTCATACAGTGATTGTTGTGGGGAAAATAGGAGGAACGTGGATATATTTGCTGCCTTGAGTTATTTGCAAAAATAATAAATGTGGGGTACAATTAAATAGACAAAGACACACTGAATCTTTTCAAAAGACATGGAAGAAGTTGAAGCGAGGGAATCCGAGGAGGTCAATAATATCCAGACTGTGACTGAGCTGCGATTGGCCTGGCTGATTGTGTGACAAACCATAACAACTGCTTGGATCTGCACATACAGGTAGTGTCAGGGCTCCGGTAGTTACCCCCCATTTAAATCATGAGTCTCGAGCCAAACTTCCAAAATTTAAAGAAAATTTATTAGGAGTAAACATGCCAGCGCTGCCTGGGTGTAGCCAACTCTGAGACACATCATTCACTGTCACCCTTGACCCTGGTTTTCCCCCACCCCCTGGGTATATCCTAATTCATATTCTCCAATGGGACACATCCATAGCCAAGAGTAATCAATCATGCTCTCCGGTTACATATTTGCTCGGCAGAAACATCAATCACCTACTTACTATCTTTGAAACATTTATGGAATGCAGTTTCGGTTTGCAAGCTGCCGCACTGCTCCTCCCTCCCTTTCTGTTGGCAACTCTAAAAAGACCAAAGAAATATTTTATGAGTTGACAAACTTTTTTATGTCAAGGATTTCTAAAGATAACTGGATGAAGGCATTTTATTCCATTAAGATAATGTGGGGAAACCATAGCTTTTTTCCCCCCCAATCCAAAAACGTTGGTTTCGTAATAAGATTGATTGCAATCCCTTTGATGTTGGAAATTCATGGACCGGAACATTAATTCTCATAGTTTTGACTTTTGTCCTCATATTGCTTCGTGTTCTGCTGAAAAATCAACAGGAGTGTTACTATGGCTGGATTGTTTGATGCGTGTAACAGATACTGTCTTGCATATATAGGTAGCCCTTGACTTACAACAGTTCATTTAGTGACTGTTCATAGATATGACGGAGCTGAAAAAGTGACTTTCGACTATTTTTTCACACTGACAACTGTTGCGTCATCCATGATTTACGTTCAGAGGCTTGACAATTGGTTCATATTTGTGACAGTGGCAACTGACTCATATTTATGAAGGTTGCAGGGTCCCAGGGTTACGTAATCCCCTTTTGTGACCATCTGATGAGCAGAGTCAATGGGGAAAGCTAGATTCACTTCACAATGGTGTTACCAATTAAACAACTGCAGTGATCCACTGGCAAGAAAAGTCATAAAAATGGGGCAAAGTTCACGTAACCAATTTCTCATTTAGCAATATCTAGTTTGGGCTCAGTTGTGGTTGTAAGTCAAGGACTACTTGTAACGTGGAATCTCGGTATTCAATTGCTTTGAAATTCATCGAATTTGGTATTCAATGCGTTTTGGCGTAAAACTTTTGTCCTGGTACTCATCCATTGAGCCGCAGGGGCGCAGTGGTTAGAGTGTAGTACTGAAGGCTATTTTTGCTAACTGCCGGCTGCCTGCAATTTGGCAGTTTGAATCTCACCAGGCTCCAGGCCGACTCAGCCTTCCGTCCTTCCAAGGTGGGTAAAATGAGGACACAGTGTCATGCCCCTGTTAGAATCTGACTCCGAGGGAGAGGAGGAACATCCTACAGGGAGTGGGAGTGTGGCTCTGGAGGTTGTGGAAGAAGCTGGGGAGGGGGATAGGCCGGCTGGGCATTCAGAGGAAGACCCAGGCCCATCCCCTCTTCATCCTAGGGCACGCAGGGAGGAGCGGATAAGGGAGAAATGTGAATGGCATGGTCTACGAGGGAGGAAAGAGCCTTGATCCCCTTCATGGGCTGCAGCTGGGAGGAATGTTTAAAAGGACAAACTGCGCATGGGCCAGTTTTGGAAGCAAAGCGTGAAAATATTTGTAGTCTGTCAGTTCTTATCTTATCTGGTGTCCTTCCTAGTGCGTGTATTTCGATATCTGTGGACGTCTTCAAGCCCTTATCCTGCCTTGTCTCATTAATTGCTTCAGTGTGGTTTGTGTTGTTGTTTTTTCTATTTATAATTTATATGTATTTTGAGTTTGAACGGAAGTTCTTCCTTTTCACAACTGTTTGTGGGGGAGTTTTTTCTCCAGTCAGATAATTGGACCTTTGAAGGCAAGTTGAAGGAATTAAAGGGACTTCACCTGTTTTTGTGACTTTGTTGCTTTTGTATCCCATCCTGGGACACCACACCCAGGTTGTTGGGGGCCAGAGGCTGACCCTGTAAAATTGCTTAGAGAGGGCTGTAAAAGCATTGTGAAGCAATATAAGTCTAAGTGCTATTGCTATTTGTTGTGTACTCGATGCACAAACTAGAATTTTTCGGTGTCAGCTGGTTGGTGACTCATTATATTATTCCTTATGGGAGAGATTTGTTTGGTACTCAACGTTTTTGGTACCAAGGTAATCTATTAAGATTATGATTCAGTGTGATTGTATGACCTCAAAAACGGAGTTAATTAAGTAGCTACCTTAGGTGTCTCATGAGATCATGGCTAAGGTGTTTCATTTCTCTTGAGTGTCCCCAGGTTTCAGCCTTCCTCCCGCCCCTTCAACCACCCTAACCTAGTTTCCATTGAAGGATCTTTCATACTTGTTTCTATTGTAACTGCTAAACTTGTCCGAGGGGGCGTGATGGCTCAACAATTAAAGACGCTGAGCTTGTCAGCCGGAAAGTTCAAGACAGAAGGGGGTGAGATCCTGCTCACTGAGCAGTTCGACAGCATGCAAATGCAAGTAGATAACTAGGTATCACTAACAGCATTCCTATCCATCTTAGGTTGTGTTGCCATGCTGGCCACATGACCATGGAAAATGTATTCGGACAGCACCGATTCCCTCTGCCAAGCAACTGAGATGGGCAGTGCACCCTAGAGTCGGACACGACTGGAGAGAGGGGAAACCTTTATCCTTACCTTAAAATTATGAAGGAGAATATACGTGTCCCAGGATATTGTTGCAGGATTCAATCTGGGTTGGTTACTGGGATCAGAGATTTTGTCTTCCAAGCTTTTGGATGCATGTTGGAACCCATCCTTAGGGAACTTCTTTCAACAGAATGTGTGGTGTTCTGTGCACGGTGTTTATAGTGGCCTGTTGTCAGTGGCTTTTTAGGTGTTGATTGGGGTGTGTCGGCTGTTGTTTGCGCTACCCAGCCAGTGGTGGTATGCTGCCGGTGTAAACAACCGGTTCCAGTGGTGAGATTCAAATATTGTTGCCACTGGTTCGGTGGGTGTGGCTTGGTGGGCATGCTTTGTGCATGTGCACACACTTTGCGGTGCCTGCACGCGCCAAACGCACACTTTGCACAGGCGCAGAGGCATTCTAACTCACCCCCTGCAAGCCTGCACGATCCTGGTCGCTTCAGCAGCTGCCACGCGGCGCTATTCTGTGCAGCGCAAAGCGGCTGCGCGTCAAATTCAGCAGATAAAGGTGAGTATGGGAGCCCAGGTGGGCCCAACAGCGGAGCCATTAGAGCAGTGGAAAGAACCGGTTTGGTCTCCGGTGCTCATCGCTCCTACCGGCTCTCCAGAACCGGGCAGAACCGGTTGAATACCACCACTGACCGGTTTGCTAATTGCACGCTTTGCGCACGTGCACAGCTTTCAAAATTACTTTCAATGTTACTTCGGGGAAGTAACATAGGCGAGGCATGGCAGTCCACTCTGCCAGTTGAGCAGATATAAGTGAGTACAGCACAGGGGCCCACATTATCATCGGAGTGAACCGATTTGGAGCCAGGTGACCATCAGAGCTAGGTGTTTGCCCAAACCAGTCTGAACCGGCAGAATGCTTTTTTCCTCCTTCTTGTAACTGTTCATGTGGGAGGTTTTTATGTATTCCGCCAAGGATATTTGGAGCTTGGAAGCAAAGTGAAGGAATAAAAGGGGCTTCACCCGGTTTTTGTGACTGTGTCTATTTTGTATCCCCCACCCTGGGTCATCACACTTCTGTTGACTGCTGTGGGGTGTGTTTCCCAGGCTTCAATCACTTCCCTGGCTGTTTTTGAGCCTGCTTGTCCAACAATCTAGATCTTACGCATGAGTCCAAAAATTCGGAAGACAAAACCTCTAGTCCCGATGACCAATCCAGATTACTTTAAGCTTGTCTGTAAAATTTGAGAGGGCAGGTTTCCCTGAGACATTCTCATCCCCAGAAAAATCAGCCACATATAAAATATAGAATCGTTGCATAGTATCTTTTGAGGGATTGTGCCAGGAACCATCAGTCCTGAACTTTTGTTCATGTGATGCTATCCAGCTTCATAAGATGGAATATGTGTTGGCTGAGTTTATAGAATGAGTTAAACTAGATCAGAGGTGGGCAACTATGGCCCTTTTATGACCTGTGGCTGGCTTAGGAATTCTGGGAGTTGAAGTCCACGTGTCATAGAGGGAGCCATAGTTGCTCACCGCTGCTCTAGAGCTATCAGATCTGGTCTGCAGAATTCAATGGCCACTAGGTGGCAGAAAAAGGTTGCAGGTTTCATCATCTCTGCTGCCATCTTGTGGTCATTATAATTTTTGCAAACCAACTCTGAAAATACTTGCACAAAACACATGATCCTATACCAAAAAGGGAGTAAATTATGGCTTAGTAAACACCTCATTTCATACAACATGCAATGACAATGTTTAAGTTCCCACGCCTGAAATTACCTACACCAACTTAACTTATTTACATTTATTTTTCATTTTTTCTTAACTGCCCATTTCATCCGGAGAGACAATATACCATATATTGCAAACTCTGCTCTCAGTTTACCTGGAGGCATGATAGATCTCCTCTTTCAATTCAGAAAGCTTGTAATGTGTAATTATATATTTTTTTAAAAAAAATGGGATCTTTATTTGATGGCTTCAGGGAAGCTTGGGCAGAATTCAGAGCAATTGGTCTTTGTTCATTCTATCTGGTATCATGGTATTAGATATGTCTTCATGAGCTAGTCAATCCAATTCAAATAAAACATCTCTGGTTTTGATTTTAGCACCATGTTTTCTCCAACGTAGACCTTGAAACAGATGCTTCCCCCAATTAAAATAACGGCATCTTTGTTGCGGTTGATCAAGGTTTGATCCAGGTTTCTCAACATTGGCAATTTCCAGGTGCGTGGACTTCAACTCCCAGAAGTCTCAGCAACGGTTATGTTGGAAATTATACCTGGAAATTGCTAAAGTTTAGAAAAAAAAAACCTGGCTTAGATGAATGGAAAATATTGCCTGGTTTCAAAGTCATCATTTCAGGATAAGCTCAGGAGCCACTGAGAATGACTATAGAAGTAGTCCTCGACTTACGGCCACAACTCAGCCTAAAATGTTTGTCATTAAGTGAGGAATTTGAGTGTTGCCCCATTTTATGACCTTTCTTGTCACAGTGGTTAAACAAATTGCTGCAGTTGATTCGTTACTACCATGGTTATTCAGTGAATCTGGCTTCCCTACTGGCTTTGCTTGTCAGGTCGCCAAATGGGATTACGTGATCCAGAGACACTGCAACCGTCATGAGTACAAGCCAGTTGCCAAACATCTGAATTTTGGTCACATGATCATAGGGCAGCTGCAACCGTCATAAAGTGTGAAAAATGGTCCTAAAGTCACTTTTTTCACTGCCATTGTGACTTTGAAGGGTCACTAAGTGAACTGTTGTAAGTCAAGGAACACCTGTACAACTCCAGACAAACCATTAGCATGATTGTCATAGCCCCCTCAGAGCCTGAGTCCGCGGAGGATGACCCGCCAGAGCTGGGGCCGACGGAGGTTGGTGGGGCGGCCTCGCTGGCTTCGGAGGAACACGGGGAGGAGCAGGGTGAGGCAGCCATGAGTCCCTCAGGCTTGGGATGGCTGAACAGAGGCAGGACGACCGAGAGGGGGGGAAGAGAGGACAGGCAGTGGAGATGAGGCGCGATGGAGCTCAGTCGATGAGCAAGGACGGCTCCCTCCTGATCCCTGAGCAAGGAGAGTGGAGAGGAGGCAGGAACAGCGTAGGCCGACCCGACAACTTGGGAGGAGAGCGCCCCGCCCCTCTTCACAAGCCACACCTGGGAACTGGGACTTAAGGAGATAAAGTGGGGAGGGTCCCAAAGACTCATTTCTGGTAGAGTTTGGGGGAGAGAAAGAAAGGCTTTTGCTTTCCTTGCGTACAGCCAAAAGCAGACGAAAGAAGCAGAAAGAAACAGCCTGGTGGCCAGGCGAGGCGTGTGGGGCAAGTTCCCCCCCCCTCCGCCCTTCCCCCCCCCTCACTAACTCATGTTGTTCGCAATGCAAGCGACACAAGCCTTGTGTTCCCGCAGGCCATGTGGGTGGCGCAGCCTTGTGTTCCTGCGCAGCCTGGATTAATTGCTTTGGGGGGGAAGACATTTCTCTGCAGACCACCAAAATTTTCTCACGGACCACCAGTAGTCCCTGGCCCGCTGGTTGGCGACCACTGGGCTAGAAGACCTCCAAGTCCCTTCCAACTCCATTCTATGCTATAAATTTCCAGACGGTGTGAACATTTAACCAGAGAAGAGTAATCCCGTTGAAGAAAGCCCATTGAAATAAATGAGTGGGAATCTATGTAAATAGCAATTCTAAATGGTCACTTCAAATCTGGATCAGATCTGTCGTGTCTTCTGGTGGATAAACCCAAATGCAGTACAGGTAGTCCTCGACTTACAACAGTTCACTTAGTGGCCATCCGAAGTTACATCACTGAAAAAAGTGACGTATGACCATTTTTCACACTTACGACCATTTGCAGCATCCCTGTGGTCACATGATCAAAACTACGGCACTTGGCAACTGACTCATACTTATGACTGTTGCTGTGTCCCAAGGTGTCCCGTGATCGCCTTTTGCGACCTTCCCGCTAGCAAAGTCAAAGGAAAAGCCAGGTTCACTTAACAGCCGTGTGACTAATGTAACAACTGCCGCGATTCACTTAACGGTGGTGGCAAGAAACTTCGTAAAACGGGGAAAAATTCACTTAACATATTTCTCACTTAGCAACAGAAATGTTGGGCTCCGTTGTGATTGCAAGTCGAAGGCGACCTCTGCAAATAAATGGATTGACAAGTACAGTCCAGTAGGAAAAATTTAAACAAATGAGAGTAAATTCTGATTCTTATATTGATGCTAAAGCGGACCACAGCATACAGATAAAAGTACTGACGAAGAATCTTTGGTTTTATAAAAATCACAATATTTATTATCTTAGATATAATATTTTTATACAAAGTTTATAAAATAACGTGCCCAGAGGGAAGCAGAAAAATCAGAAACCAGGCTCCTACATTTCTCTTAAGGCTTTATTTTCTGGGAGGACAAGGCACCCGTGCCACAATCTCCCAACCCTCATAAACACAAAAAATCTACATTAAAAAAACCGCCAATGCAGACAATTTTTAAGTATTCCCCCTCAAAACCCCCTAAAATCTGTCTTACTGACGCCTCGCCAGCAAGTGGCGCTGTTTGATGCAGATAGATCCTGTACAAGCTGCGGCAGATGGCTCTTATGAATAAGGACTTAATGTAAATTAATTGTTCTGACATTTTCATTTAACGTTTGGGGAAGAAAATGTTTACCCTGCATGGAGGGGAGGAAAAAAAAATACCCCACCAATTTCAGAGGCTAATGATGTTGTTCAAGTATTTTGTTAAATCGACGCCTGTCTGTTCTTTGCATTGTTTCCTATTAGGACTGACTCCTTGGGTTTAAAAAAAAAAATTGGATAAATGAATTATTCCTCCACCCCACTCCGCATGTGGCTGCTACATGTATGCTAATAAAACAGTAAAGGAGGTTCCACTTTCAATACAACAGATGGATCCTTTATTCTTAAATTTGTACACTCTAATCTACCTATATCAGGTATCAAAGACATTCCCTTGCTGTGAATTATCTATCTATCTATCTATCTATCTATCTATCTATCTATCTATCTATCTATCTATCTAGATATAGATAGATATAGAAAATCATTTTTACTGAAAATCTTACATTGGGAATTACACAGAATATATCTCTGTATTTTATTGCTTTCTATATTACCCTAGAGTCAACCCTAAAAAATAATTTTGTGATCAGTCCTAATGTAAAAAAGGCAACCGATGAACAACCCACCTGATACATAAGTCAGAACGCTGAAATATTTAGATATTTATGGCTTTTACTCTTTGTTGATGTGCATATGTGGGTCTTCCAACAGTCAGCATTTTTGGGGTGTGCTTAAGAGGCCAAAGATCATAGTTCACACAGTTACCTGCATCATAATTTTTTTAAAAAAAGCATTGCATTTGATGCAGAATTCTGTACTCATCTGAAAACTAATTAATAAACTGGGTAATTGGTAGGCAGCCGCAAGATATATATATATAATATATCTATCTATCTATCTATCTATAATATTTAATATATATATTTATATATTGGTAAGCAAGCATTGGTAAGCAAGCAAGCATACAGCTTACCAGGGACATGGGATAAAAATACATTTTAATTGCAAGTCATCAGAACAAGATGTCAGTATAGCCATTTTAATCACCTGCAAAGAAACAACAGAAAATGATTAAAACATTATCAGTCTTGAATTAGATATAGTATATTTAATGTTGTTTTTTATTAGTGGGAAAATATGCACTGAAGGAAAACGAAATTGACATTACATCCAACTGTATTTAGACTTAAAATAAACAGAAATTATTGATGATGATGATGATGATGACAGAGAAGGTCCTGTAAATTTGCCTACTCATTTTCAGCTTAGATAGGAATATTTCTAGTGGAATAATCATAACAACAAAACACTAAAGTTGTCCTATTGGTGATGCTTTTAAGTGTGAAAAAATAGCCACTAATATTAAAAAAAAATACAGGCTAAAGACCCTTTCTCGTAGTTAGAGGTCAACATTTATTCAAAACTGGCATTATATGGATTCTGTTAGGAGATGCGTTGTTTGCTGAGAATGCTATCTCTTGCAATAGTTAATAAAACCATCTGCAGTGAAAAAGGCCAGAATGGGCCTCAGTATTACAAGTCTATGAAATGGGTCTATGCTGTTGACATCCTCAAACCTCTTATTATGTTAATTAAAAAAAAAAGAAACTAGGAGTAGGACTATATTGCTGGGCTTATAAAAGGCAACCTTGCCAGATAACATAGGCTTAACTTGAGGTTATGTTTCCTGAATCAATCAAGCTTCTGATTGGCACTTGCCATCAAACTCCAAACCAACCAAGATGGGTAGATCCGTTCAACGCCCAGAGAAGGTAAGAATCAAAACCACGGTTAACCAATCAAGTTTGGGAGGTTGTACGAATTCAACGGCTGGGTCTTAACCCTGCCCAGCCGCCTGTCTTTTCTGGGGTCATCTCAGCCCCTTGGGGAATGGGATGGTGGTGATGGACCAGGGATCGCTTCTCCTCCTCACCCTTTCCAGCCTCTGCAGAGAGCCCCCAAAGGGACAGCAGAAGCTCTCATTTTGGAAGTCAACACCTCTCCATGTTGGGTGGGGGGAAGAGAGAGGGAGGGAAGAGAAGCAGTAGCACCCTAATCTGTGACCCTGGGCGGTCGAGGGAACCGATCTCTTGGCATTCACCGCGTGCCTTAATTGTATGGACATTAAATCAAGGTCCGCTGTGAACACGGAGAGAAGGGCCCAGGAAGTGTGGGCAAGCCAAGGGAGATGCAATGTGTGTGTGTGTGTGTGTGTGTGTGTGTGTGTGTGTGTGTGTGTGT